ATATATTCTTTAGAAACTGGTGGAGCAAAGCCATTTAAAATCATGAACACCAGTACTAAATCAGCAAATTGGATTAGAAATTCTCAACTTAAAAGGGAGTACTTAGTTAAGATATTACAATAATGAAAACTATTCGGCTTTTCATCTGAAACCTTAAGAACTTGTAATAAACAATTTAAATTGGTTTAAGAATAGACTTGTTTGAGTCCAGGTAGTAATACAGTATGTAATATGTGGAAGAATCATAGAATTCATTCAACTAAACTGCTGCTTCCTTAGTCAAAGTATTTCTAATAAATCTAAAATTTGCTAAATTAAATTTCACTGTGTTAACAACTTTCTTCACATGCTTTTTTGAAAGAAAGCCTAGAATCTATTATTATTCCTTATTTAAATTCATGTACTACCTCAAGCTTCTGTCCTTGGACAAACAGATCTGCTTCTACATCCTGATATGCCCTTTTAGTACAAACATGCATACAGTTTTCTTGACATTAAAGGGGTCATATGATGCGATTTAAAATTTTCCTTTCTCTTTGGAGTGTTACAAGTTCTTGGTGCATAAAGAAGATCTGTAAAGTTGCAAAGACTAAAGTCTCAAATCCAAAGAGATATTCTTTATAAAAGTTAAGAGTCAACCACGCCTACCTAAAACGGCTCATTCTAACACGCCCCCACATGTCTACGTCACGATGTGGGAAGATTTGCATAACTCCGCCCAAATGTTCACGTAAAGAAAGAAGGCCTAACTTTTATTCTTGCTGTAGTATTGTTGTTGCTGCCGCCGACATGTCGTGAAGGCGCTGTGTGTTTCATTGTGAAAGCGAAACTACTTTGTTTGGCCTTCCAAAAGAGGACGATATACGCTTCGTCATGCCTAGAGCTGATCCGTGCTGGTCGCTGAGGAAATACTTGTGAAAGCGAAACTACTTTGTTTGGCCTTCCAAAAGAGGGCACAACTAGAAATCAGTGGTTAAGTTGTATTTACAACACTGTTCCAGAACAGTTCAGCCCAAATATTCAGATGTGTGCAGCACATTTTATGGAGGACTGTTTCCTGATCCTCGGAGCGTAGACTACAATGCCGGCTGTTCTGACTCACAGACTGTAAGTATGTTTTCATATTTAAAGGATTTGCCACTGATGATTCAAATGCGAGTTTTGAGCAGTGTAGAGTAGCACTTGTTGTTTGTCATTTCTCCGATCACAAATGCAGACATGGTTTTATGTTTACGCGGCGCGATGCAACGCAACACGTAAAAAGACAGTATAAATCATTATAATCTGTAATTATGTCCCCACTGGATGCAACAAATGCCTCATTTATAATGGGTTTTAATGTTTTTGTGTCGTAGCTCCGGCCGGGACACGGCATCACAGTATGCCGTGTAGTAACACAGTAAGAGGCGTAACATTTCGTCACACGCTTGAGGTATTCGGCCAATCACAATGCACTGGATAGCTGGCCAATCAGAGCACACCTCGCTTTCGCATAAACACATTTAATTACATCATATACACAACAATGTTCTTTTTAACAACATCATATGATGCTTTTTTAAGATATAAACATGATTTAGTAAGTCATCATCTGATCCATCGTAGAGTTTGACTTCTGTGCAGCCTGTTGCTGTCTCTTTGCATGTGCATACATATATAGGAAAGTGACGTGACATGTGGCCAAGTACGGTGTCCCATACTTGGAATTTGTGCTCTGCATTTAACCCATCCAAGTGCACACACACAGCAGTGAGTAGTGAACAAACATGCACACACACACCGTGAACACACACCAGCAGCAGTGGGCAGCCAATGCTGCGGCGTCTGGGGAGCAGTTGGACCCTTGCTCAAGGGTCTCACCTCAGTCGTGGTATTGAGGGTGGAGAGAGCGCTGGACAGATATTCATTTTAATGTTTGAATGGGCATGGTGTTTCTGCTTGAGTAAGTGTGCTTCCAACCTCACAGCTAAGAAATCGACTCGAGAAGAATGTCATTTTTGTTCCTGCATTAGCGTTCAATACACTAACTCTGTGACAAAGTCACTGTGACTCGGTTTCTTTTTTTACTACGTTCAATAAACATCTGCACACTGCAGCAAGGGACTCTGGAAGTATTTGTGGATTTTCATATGTGCTTTTTTTACTACCCGAAGCTGTGAACGACTTTGTGATTTTACCACAGAACAACCGTGTGACCTGGGATTTCTCACGGAGGCTCGTTCGGGTTGGAAGGAGAGAAATGGGCAGAATCCTGTGGGTTTCTCACACAGTGAGAAACGACCTAGCAGCTGAAGTGTTTGCAGGAGGGGGAATTGATGTATGATGTCCACACATCTGAAAGGTGATTTATACAAGTGCCCAGAAAGCCTGGGTATTGGCGCTCCCCGGGAGACAGGACCAGCTGTGAGAAGACCTCTTCATTCTGCAGATGAGATTGTGAAAAATGTGGCCGGGGGATCGCAGACTCTTGTTGGGGAACAGGAAATTGCACACCCTGCCATCATCGCAGTGCATACATTAAGGAATCTGATTGAGGTGATGCAGTGTGTCAGAGCATCTTTTTTCCCTCCCTCCATTTTTGGTGTTTACATACCTCATAGCCTGTTATCCGTCCTTTGCTGCCGCTTTGGTGAGCAGGTTCCCAGAATACCTCGATCTCAGACGCGGACAAACTGCGGGCCCAGACTCTGGGAGGAGCTACTGAAGGTTCTGTTAATATCAGACATTTCAAAAATGAGGAAAGTAAGTGAAAAACAACAGGTAATGAGAACAGACAGTTTACAGGATTCATCCAACATCAGTCTCTAGTGCTTAAATGTACCACCTGTTTGCAAGAACTAATTGTGCTGTTAGCACACTTGCGAATAAAGAAATTACCACCAAAGTGCACTAACACAGCTGTAGAGGGAGTGTAATTAAAACTTGAAATACATCCATCAACTTTTGTCATCCCTAAACGATGTCCAATAATGTCCTTGCACAATTTGCATACAATCAACACAGAACACAAGCATATTAACCTTCATCTGCTGAATATACAATGACCACAGGGCTAAACGGTCCCTCTCCGATCTCATTGTATACGCCGACTTTTACTTCAAACTGAGTGAGTGGCAGAAAAGTATCATTTTTATAAATGTATCGTGATGCATCTGCCGAGGCCAACACGCTCTGCTTCCATGTTGTGGTGCCAAGGGGACGAAATGCCACCACATATCCAAACTTTTCTCCATTTTGTAGCTCCTCCGGCACAGGCTGTGAGAAAAGAATATAAGAATTTAATAATGTAATGTGATTCAATAAAGAAAGTCACTTGTTTCGTTACTTAATAAAATGGTGCTTTTACATTTACATTTATGCATTTGGCAGACACTTTCATCCAAAGCACCTTAAACGGCTTTAATGAGGGAAAGAACTACAATCCCATTAAGCATTTTGTTTGTTACAAAATATGCATACAAATATTTAATATTACAAAGATTTAAATACTAAAATATATATAGATTTTTTTTCCAGAATCTGATCAAATCATGTTTAACAGCGGAATTTGTGATGAAAAACGACATTACCCAGAATTAGAATTGCAGAAAATTCCAACAATCACATTGTCACGCCCCTGGACTCTTTGTGTTGTGTTTTCCCTCCCCAGGTGTGCCGTGTTCTCTTTAATTAAGTCATTCCTTGCACCTGTGTTTTCCCAATCACCCAGTGTTTAAAAGCCCCAGTCCTTTCAGTTAGTGTTTGTCGGTCCTCGAACGTCATTCCTTGTGTTCTAGTGTCTCCTACGTTCCCCGTGTGATCATTAAAGACTGTGAATTGAAGTTATCTCCATGTTTCCTCGCTCCTTGCCTCCCGAGAAGTGTGACACATATAGTCTTGTCCAGCAAATCATGCCAAAAAAAAGCTTCTCTCTTGGTGCACCATGAGTGACGTACTGTAATAAATTCGGTATCCCTATACTCTCAAAATACCTAAATAATTGTGTGTGTGTGTATATATGCATGTATACATATAAACAGATAATCAACAACTTTAAATGAATAGCTTTATATTTCACCATTGTTTTATGAAATTGTAGCTCTATGGTTCATGGGATTGTAGTTCTTTCCTTCACTAAGTCTTTAAGTACACAGTCTTGTACCTTTATCTATTTGTCTAATTTTCAAATACTTTGTTGCTAAGTTTATAATGTTGTATTCTCCTTGTAGCTGGTTGGTTTAGTTCACAGCTTATGCTTAAACAGAGACTCTTTAAAAATTCCTATGAAATAAAAAAAATAAAATTCCGGATTCAACGCTGCTGAAAAAGTGGGCGGGCACTAATGCACTATATTAGCGTGCTTGTAACACCACTCAACCAATCAGATTCAAGCACAAGAGCTAACTGTATGAGTAATTTTATCATCATAACCAATGCTTTGAAAAAACAATAGCAAGCACTGTTCTCCTCAACGAGTCCTGTGATTTGAGGCGTCACTCATGCCTGTAGCACAAACGACGTGGGGCGATTTACAAAGCTTCATAGGGTAATAGAGTTGTTCAAAGTATCACCAATAATATTAGTCCCTCAAAAATGCACTAAAGCAAAATCATTCAGCTGACATGGCGTTACATTACTGCAAGCTGACAAGTAATTTTCCGTGGTAGGTTTTTACATTGTTGCTTCCATAATCTGAAATCCACAGAATATAAGTAAATAAATTTGACAGATTTAAGCACTACTGTGTCAGTCAAGAAACCTCTAGACTTAGTGAAAAATGTGCCGTATTTTGAAAGTAATACTGTATTTAAACACACCACTGAATATTTGTCGTGACAGCTGGTGAGATTACGAGAAAGCCATTGATAAACATTGTCATTTCTGGTTTTACAGATTTACTGGTATGAAAGCTGTCTCATATCTGCGTCTACATTATGATTTACATACCAGAGGGAGCAATCCCACTGAGGCAAAGAGCAAAGACGACAACGCTTTACCTTTTAATTAAACCTTGTCTAATTTAAACCACGTCACCGTGGAGAATTCCCTCAGAATCCGATTCACAAGAGAAGACTGATTTGAAAACGCTCCTGTCACAATAAAGATGCAGAGCTCACCTCCCAAACAATCACGAGTTCGCCTCGGCTTCCTCCCCCTCCACTCACGTTAGCTGGGGCGACTTCAGGACCTGCCAGCCAAAACAGAGAACAGACACCAGAACAGAAGAAACGGGATTTATACATGTGGGATTGGTGGCAAATCCGAACACTTCCTTTCCATGAGGTGTGGCTCAATGGTCTTTTCAGAATGGTTCAAAGAATCTGAATGAGGTAGAATGTAACAACCTGCAGAATTTTCAGTTTCCTGGTGAAAAATGGTTGTCTGGTCTTAGCCTGTCTCTCAGCCTGGTTTTAGTGTTGTTTTGTGCACTTTTTAGTTGAACACCAGCTTGGCCAGGGTCGGAGACCAGTTAGACCAACTAAACCAATTTAGGACTAGCAAATCAAACCAGCTCAAGCTAGTTTAAGATGTTTTAATGTAATGTGCATATAATGAATAATTATGTATTTGCATTTGTTTTTTTAGTATGTGCTGGTTTATTTTGTAGTATATATATATATAGTGTATGCATATTCGCGATGGCGCCGACGTTGATGGCTGCCTCTGTGGCATGCTCCGCAGTTGTTTTTATGTTTTTGTTAGTTTGTCCTGTCTTTAGTTATATCCCTGCAATCAGTTTCACCAGAGACGAATTGCTGGACATTCGGAAGTACACACCACCCGATATTTCACCGGTTTTTGATTATTCTGATGTTTTGCTGGACATTGTAGTCAGGGGAGCAGTGGCGCTGATCAAACTCTTCAGGACACGCAGACGGGGGAAGCTCAGGAAGCGCGGATTCAGGACGCCGTTGCCTAGCATCCATCTGGCGAACCTCTGCTCTCTACCCAACAAAACGGACGAACTCCTTCTGCTCTCCCGGACAAATAAGGATTTTTCAAACTCTGCTGCTCTG